TCTCTCTCTCTCTCTCTCTCTCTCTCTCTCTCTCTCTCTCTCTCTCTCCCTCTCTCGCCTGGCATATATACGCGTCTACTAAACCGGAGAGTGGCGGTAGTCTAGACGGAGTGTCGATTTTTGCCGCGGCACCAAATTAGAAACCCTTCCCTGCTGGATCCATCGCGCGGTTCCACCGCCTCTGCGTCTCCCCTCGCCTCTCTCTCTCTCTCTCTTCCACTCTCTCTCTTTTTCCGTCTTTTTTCCCCGCTCTTCTCGACGTTTCTCTCGTTCTCGCGGTGTATCTCTCTCTCTCTCTCTCTCTCTCCTTCTCCGTCTCCCGTGAACGCGCGCATGTGAAATCGCTTAAAGGGGATGAACAGACGACACGCAAGCCGTCGGGGGCTCTTAGCTCTCGCGGCTCGAGACCGACTGCAAATATTTTCGCTGCTTCCTCCCTCCTGTTGCCGCGACTCCGTCTGTCGGACACTTTTCGGTGGCGGAAAGAGGAGGAGGGGGGAATGTCGACACCTAAAGCCACTGAAAATCTCGTCCCCCCCATTCTTTCTTTCTCGAATCGGTTGGGGAAAAGGCGGGCGTGGATGTTCCTATCCGCGAAACGTTCCAATTTCGCGGGTCGATTCGATGGAAGACGATTTCATCTTTTCCATCATCGCGCGATGAAAGAGATGCGGGGAAAAGGTTCGAATTCAACCTCGTAAAAACACCGGCGATCCCGTATTCATCGAGCTCGGATACCGGCCTCTCCTGCATACGTTTATGTAAACACGCGCGAGAAGAGGGCGTGATAAGATACGGCGCCAAGGAGCAAAGGGAGGAAAAGTCGAATTCGAAGGCAAATTGTATTCACCGCCATTGTGCTCCTACCGCGCTTTCATTCACCTTTAACATTTCCTCTCCTTTCCAGAGGGCAATTACCTCTAGACCCCCCTCTTCGAACATCTCCCCGATTCTTTCCTTCGTGGCTCAACCTCTGACGAAGCTTCAATCGAAAAAGCTGTCCCGCGAAAAACTTCCCCCTTTTTTTTTTCTCCCTCTTCCTTCCTCGAAAATATATACGAATATACGAATAGGGGAAAGAAGAGAATAAGGGGGGGAGGGAGAGGATTCTCGATGAAATTTAACGAGGCGGAGGTAAGCCGGATCGAGATCAACGTTATGGAGACAACGCGGGGAAATTAATAACAGCGTGGACGCACAACAAGGGCAGAGAAAACATCGATCTAGGCCGCGATTAAGGGATTATTCTACAGGGATATATTCACGGCGCGTCGGGCACCGAAATTGCGTCCGATGCGATTCGCGATTCGCGATTTCGTTAATCATCGCTCGCGCAGTTGAAATGCCGGAATTAGTCGAAAGTGGCGCTATCCGTTTTATCCTATCTCGGTTTCAAAATTGCGCCAGCCAAGCTTGAAAACCAATTCGAAATGACAGCTCCTCTAAGCCGTGTCGCGGCTTTCGATCGACCAAGGATTACGGCGCGCGTCAATTAACCCGGCGAAAAGCTCGAGCCGGGCCTGAACCTTTCCCCCTTTCGTTTCTCATCCATTTCCATTCCGTGGGAAAGAATCGGGATTCCGAGGCGAGAGCGATCGTTGGAAGCGTTGGAGGGAAGGCGTTGCCTCGAGGCGTCCACGCAGGCGAGAGTCAAAGTCCAAGACCCAGGATCCCACGGGGGGATTGGAAGCGGGCGTGGATTTACGACCGAGTTTCTCTTCTCCGCGCTCCGTTAACCCCCGGAGTCTCGGTACGTGGACTCGGTGGATTGCGGCGTAATACAAGGCCATCGAGAAACTCTCCCCGACGAGTGGCAGGGAAGGGGAGGGGTCATCTTAAACCCGGTTGAATCGGTTCCAATTTGGGGAGAAGCGGAGCCTCGGAAGCTAGCTCACGTTTTACCTCGTCGTCCAAAGTGCCGTGCTTCGTTGACAAATTCGACCTTGCCTCTACTCACCCTCCTCCTCCTCCTCCTTCCTCTTATTTTGCCATATTTTTTTTCCATTCCACTGCACTCGGCCCACCGCACACAAATGCGTTCGCCGAATTCTTTTTCTTCGCAATTCTTCCATCCATTCTCGTCCATCTTTCTTTTTTCTCTTTCTTGCTCCTTGTTCCCTTCGAAAGGGGATAAACGAAGGGGGTAAATATCGGTGAAAAATTGTAACTCAATCTAGAGAGGTGCATAAAGTTTTCGGGGGCGACGAGAAGTTTTCCCAAAGGAGTTTGATACGCGTGTAAGTTGGGAAAATATGGTGGATAAAATAAAGGGAGAGGCGGTCCTCCCTCTTCTCTCTCCCTTCCATCGATCGTTATCGATATGTTTGCGTTACGAGGGAATTCCGGCGGCAATAATCCGCGGGCTTTCGAAAAGTTATTAAATTTGCCGGGGCAAGTTGGAGAGATGTTGCTCCTCCTCGCGCAAGAAGTTTCCGCTTCTTCATACGGAAAAACGAGTTTCCTCCTGGATAGAGAAGTCCAGAGAAATTTCCAGAGACTCGCTCTAAACCTCGCGGAAGCTTGCCAGCCGGGAGTATTCGAATCCTCGTGAGCGAAACTTCCCTGTTTGCCCCAACTTTGCGGAATCTTCTCCCGGGACTCGGCCTCCCCGAGCGGAAAGGGTATCCATTCGTCCGCTCGTCACTCGCGATTCTCGCTCAAACATAATGAACCAACCAATATCTACCCTCCTCCCTTACCCTTTTATATTATCGGGGGCACAAACGATCATGACTTTCCTATCGTAACAATTGCCCCTGTCGACTCGTCTATGTCGCAAGTACGCTATACCTGTACCACCTACTTTTCAAACTGTGTAAATGTATAATGGACGAATCAAACCGTTATCTGTTGTGCAGGCGGAGATCGAAAGTGGTGATATCCTCCGCGAAGCCTGAGGACAGCGGCAGATACGAGTGCGTAGCTGAGAGTACTTCCGGTCATCGGGCCTCACTCGCGGCCCAGCTTCTAGTCGCTCACGATACGAGAATTCCGGAAACCAGTGAGTATCCACCCTCCCTTTTTCTTTTACAAACATATTTTATTTTTTCTTTTTTCTTTTATCGATCTCGTGTCTCATCTTTTCGAAGAATCTGGAGACTGAACAAAAAGAGAGAGAGAGAGAGAAAGATATATATGTATATATATATTTATTATTTATTCCGTGGTACAAATCCGTATATATGTATACATACGTGTATAGATGAAACTTTTTCTCTTTTCGCGCGACGATCTCATTAATAAAAAAATACAGGAGGAACACGGTGTAACGGCGCCCTTAAAAACGCGGCAGCGTTCGTTACCCGGGCGTGGATCGTCGATACAAAAAGCGGGGGAGGGTGGTGGAAACAAAGGGTGCGGACGGCACCCGTGTTTTTGTTCGAGCCGGCGGCTGGATTCTCGCCGATCGTATCGATCCGATCCATCCGATCGATACCACGGTGGAACACCTGCCGATACATGCACGGCCGCGTTTCAGTTTTCACTCGTTGCCGTCATAACTCCGATGGTGCGTGCGCCCACTGTGGAATCGCCGTTCAATCCGTGGGAAAAAATAGCGGCGCTATACGCGTACGTAACGGGACGCGACTTCACGATACACTGCCCCGCAACCTGCGACATTTCGATGACCCCCCTATTGTCGTCTATGAAAATCATTTTTCTCCTTTCTCTCTCTCTCTCTCTTTCTCTTTTTTTTATCTCTGGTCGCCCCGAAAGGGAGAATATCACCCCGTAAAAGGTTATGGAAAATCCTTTGATCCCTTTGCCGGGCTGCGTTTTGTTTTGCACGCGAATAATCGAGTAATCGAAAACAATTAAACCGAATTACGAATATAATGAGTATTAATTTTCCATGCTCGTTCGGTGGATGAAAAATCGAGAGAGAGAGAGAGAGAGAGAGAGAGAGAGAGAAAGTAAAGAGTATATAATTCGGAGGATCGATCCTCCTCCGTCTGGAAGATATCGGTTCACCGATTCGTGTAACTTTTACACGTTGGAAAGATGCGGTCACGATGCACATAAACGTCTGAAACACGTTCGCGCGTTTATCGATCGATCGACATCGAGCCCTCCCTTCCTGCATAGGGAACCCACCGTGCGGAACGTTGGTTTATGGGTTTTCATAACACGTGCAACATTTGGCAGACGCTTCTCGCCATCCTATTTATGCCGAGAATGGGGTTCTCGCCACCCGCTCGGTGGTGGAAAAGCTGCAAGACAGCTTGGTGGAAACAGAGAGAGAGAGAGAGAAAAGAAAAGAAAAAACGCGCGAAATTCGCAGCGTAACTTCGCCTCGCTTCGAACTCGCGTTGCGCAATTCCGACCGCTGGATACCGAGGATCGATTCGAAACGAATCGGGGCGAGAAATTCCACGGCGAAAATACACAAGTTCGAAACGAAACTGGCTCTCCTTACGAAGCATCCGTTTGCGTTGAAACCTAGTTTCGAAAAAAAGGGACGATAACATAATTGGATAAATATATACGTAAGGAAAAATGTGGAAGGAAGGAAAGAAGGAAGGTTTATCCTCTTTCTGCTCCAGGTAGCAAAATAGATGATGATGATGATGATAATATCGGGGATAAATACGAAAGAGTGTCGGAAATGTGGGGCAGGCGATCAAGCAAGGATTAAGCAGCTGATGCGATAATGCTCGCGCAGGGTAGCGGTTCCAGCGAGGTCGGGAAAGCTTGCGGTTCACCGCCACCGTGGGGGCTCGTATGACGGACAAAGGGCGACAATTACAACCCTGCCTGCCCGCCGCGTCAGGCTTTCATACAGGCCGAACTGCTGATGGCGGCGAGTCAGCTGCCTATTTTCGTGTACACGTACGATTCGTACGAAACAAAACGAAACGTAACCTTGTTCCGATCCAATTTTCGATCGAGATCCTCGGTCGATCGAGAGAAAGGGAAAAAGAAAAAAAGTTTCCCTCTCCAAACTCGGATCCGCGACTTTCGAGGCAGTTTCGACGCCACTCCACTCGGCGCCTCCTTACCGGTTTTTAGCCGCTCGATTGCGGTAACAGATTGTGGTAATGTTTATAAGGCTAGAGTTACTCGAAAGGAGGAGGGAACCGCGCGCGCTCTTTTGCCAGACTGCAATAACATTTACCACAAACTTTTACTACGAACTCGAAATGCACCGAGTGGCCCGAGTGTGCGCTATGTTTTAACAATTGCAGTTCCAGTCGCAATGTTACCGGTCGTCGAGGTGTAACTCGATACAATAACGGCGCGTTCCGCGTCGTTCGGCCGAGGGAAGAGGCCGACTTACACCGTAAGACATAAGGTTTCACCACCGCCAAGGGAGATCCAGATGAAATTATACGTCCCAAGATTCTCCCCTGGATCCCATTCCAGAAAATTCAATCGTTACACTTTCCTCCTCCTCCTCCTCCTCCTTCTCTTCTTTCTCCTCCTCCGTTCCAGTTTATCGATATATCGCGTTCCTTTGGATTTCCAGTTCCAACAACGGCGTTTTCACCACCTTGGAGGAGAAACTTGCGGGTTCTCGTCGCCGGTGGTGGTCGACCGAGGGGAAAGAAGCGTTGCGCAATCCGAGGGAATCGCCGAGGTTTCGTGCTTAAGTTCCGCGAGAGAAAATCCTCGAGCGGTCAAACACCCGGGGCAAAGAGCGAAACCGAGGGAGAAAGAAGAAAAAGGGTTCTTTTGTACGAATGCACGCGTCAGCGATGGCTGGAAGGAGGAAACAATGAGATTGTAAAAAAAGAAAAACCGCTCCACTCGATTTATCCATCGACAACCGGAGGATCGTCTTGCTCTGGACCAAGCATCTTCGTGTCTCCTCGATCCTCCCTCCCCCTTCCATACCCTTTCAAAGCGATTCAGCGACAAAACAAACATGCCCTCCCTCCGTGTGTATATCGATCGCATCCCCGAACCTCGTGTCCCGAGCAGAGAACACGAAGGATGAAAGGCGAGGGTGGAAGTGGATGATCGACGGAAAGAGAGGAGGGAGGGGGCGGCTAATGATTCCTCGCCTTAAATACCGATACGGTGGATAACGGTGGAGAGGCGGAGAAAGGATCCAAAGAAGAGAGACAGAGAGAAAGAGAGAGAGAGACTTAAGTCCGTTTAATGCTCTCGAAGGTGAAGAGACGAGAAACGGAGGCAATTAGGAGGGGGCGACGAAACGTCGGAATAGAAACAATTACGAGCGGAAGGTAAACCTCCCTTATTCGTGGAGGTTCGCGGATGGTAGGGACGGGTGCGATAGCCATCCCATGGCGCCGTGTTGTCTTTCCGCCCATTGTTCCTCTCCCCCTCCTCTGTCGCGGATATACATACAACAGCTCATCGTTCTTACGGAATTAATTAAAAGCGGACCAATCGACTCGCCCTCCTACTACCATTACTACTACTACTACTATTACTATTACTACTACTAAAGTAAACTAGAGAAACGAAGATCGAGATGGCGCCGAACTTCTCCTCGTTCTGGCGTGTGAAATTTTACGAAATTTCGTTCAAAAGGTGCGGGGAAGATGAGAGGAAAGGAGGAGAATATATATATATATATAATGTCTTGGAGGGTGATTACGCGCGTCGTGGCCCTCGCGGCATTGTCTTAGCCGGTGGAAGATGCGCGAAACTCGAAAACTCGTCGCGCGATTTCTCCCCAGGCCTGTCGTCGCGACGCCGAATAAACAAACGCCGGTCCTCGGTGGAACGGCGCGGCGCATACGCCGTCTGACTACGCGTCGCTCATACTATTTACTCGTACTACTTGCGCCTACTATTCCTCCCGGTTTTGCA